TTTTCAGTGTGAAGGGTGCCAGAAATGGCCTTTTGTCGTGATAAATCTATATTTTCGTGCCTGTAATCTTATACAGGCTCCTCCATAATACAAGGGCCACACACAAATAATGTAAGCTGTGCGTAGACAAAGCGAGGAGGCATTTTTAAATGCATTTGCAAGAATATGCAAGCGTTCGTTTAATTAACCTTATGCATTTCATCTAGTTTGTAAATCCATTGCAACTGTGATATGATATCATTGCACTCTCTAACAGATAAGCATGGCTGATTGAAAACGGAACACAAAGGTAATAGCGGAAATTGACACGCTATATTCCAAATCAATACGTTAATGAATGGGCTATGAAGCGTATTCCGAATGTATAGGGCAGTGTCATTGCTATCACAATATGTGAAATGCGCGTTTCAGAAGCAACATAAATTCAACTTTTTAAGCGTTTGAAATGTCAAATGCATGAAATTATTCTTTACTTCAGATCAGGAGATGTTGAAATTAGAAAGGGGAGTTCATGTCATTGAGAAACGTGTACCCCTATCGAGGATGTTTATTGAACGTACGCACAGTACTTTATTTCAGATTACTTAATCCTATCTTGGGCCTTCCTGTTCTCTGATCTGTTTAAGCTAGAATGGGCCGCGATGACCTAACACTGCATCACAATGCGGCTTGCTCTGGAAATTAAATAAACCGTAGCAAAGACTACTTTATCCTGCTCATTAGCCCAGAAAGGGTACGTTTAACTGAATTCATTAAGTCACATACGCAATGAAGAGTTAGGGCAATGTCTTTTTGGTTTGCGGCCCTGATCGAGGAACATGTTTAAGTTAGGTTCGTGCTTCCAAGACAGAAAAACTATTGTATTGAACAGCAATGAATATTTTACTGGGATACAATATGAGAATTGCGTTTTATTCTGATCCCAAACCATTCTCCCTCAAATCGCATCAGGCAGCGTGTGAATACATGCAGTAAAGCATTCCTACACGGAAACAGTGTTCAATGAAGAAGAGTAAGCTGTTAGAAAACAGCTCGGTGGCTAGATATATGTCTAGCTGTATGATTAACTGCGTGACTAGCTACATGGCTAGCGACACGTCTAGGTTAAGGAATAGCTGCATGGCAAGCTGTATGTGTGAGTGTATGACTATTTGCATGACTAGCTTCATGTTTATGTGTGACTGCATGACTAGCTGTATGTAGCTGGCTATGCACCTGTCTGTTAGCTAGCTGCTTGGCTAGCGATACGTCCAGCTGGATGACTAGCTACATGGCTAGCCATATATGTGACTGTATGACGAACTGCATAGCTAGCGACAGGTCTGGCTGGATGACTAGCTACACACCTGCCATATGTATGTCTGTATGACTAACTGCAGAGCTAGGGACAGGTCTGGTTGGATGACTAGCTACATGACTAGCCATATGTATGTATGACTAACTGCATAGTTAGCGACAGGTCTGGCTGGATGACTAGCCACATGGCTAGCTACATGTGTGTCTGCATGACGAACTGCATAACTGGCGAAACGTTGCAGCTGGATGACTAGCCACGTGGCTAGCTATATGTGTGTCTGTAGGACTAACTGTATAGCTATTGACAGGTCTGGCTGGATGACTAGCCACATGGCTAGCTATATGTGTGACTGTATGACTAACTGCATAGCTAGTGACAGGTCTCGCTGGATGACTAGCCACATGGCAAGCAACATTTGTGTCTGTATGACTAACTGCATAGTTAGCGACAGGTCTGGCTGGATAGCTAGCCACATGGCTATCTAAATGTGTGACTGTATGACTAACTGCATAGTTAGCGACAGGTCTGGCTGGATGAATAGCTACATTGCTATCTAAATGTGTGACTGCATGACTAACTGCATAGTTAGCGACAGGTCTGGCTTGATGACTAGCCACATGGCTAGCTATATGTGTGATTGTATGACGAACTGCATAGTTAGCGACAGGTCTGGCTGGATGACTAGCCACATGGCTAGCTAAATGTGTGACTGTATGACTAACTGCATAGTTAGCGACAGGATTGGCTGGATGACTAGCTTCATGGCTATCTAAATGTGTGACTGTATGACTAACTGCATAGTTAGCGACAGGTCTGGCTGGATGACTAGCTACATGGCTATCTAAATGTGTGACTGCATGACTAACTGCATAGTTAGCGACAGGTCTGGCTGGATGACTAGCGAAATGGCTAGCTATATGTGTGACTGTATGACTAACTGCATAGTTAGCGACAGGTCTGGCTGGATAACTAGCTTCATGGCTATCTAAATGTGTGACTGTATGACTAACTGCATAGTTAGCGACAGGTCTGGCTGGATGACTAGCCACATGGCTATCTAAATGTGTGACTGCATGAATAACTGCATAGTTAGCGACAGGTCTGGCTGGATGACTAGCTACATGGCTATCTAAATGTGTGATTGTATGACTAACTGCATAGTTAGCGACAGGTCTGGCTGGATGACTAGCTACATGGCTATCTAAATGTGTGACTGTATGACTAACTGCATAGTTAGCGACAGGTCTGACTGGATGACTAGATTTGGCTAGCTATATGTATGTTTGTATGACGAACTGCATAGTTAGCGACAGGTCTGGCTGGATGACTAGCCACATGGCTAGCTAAATGTGTGACTGTATGACTAACTGCATAGCTAGCGACAGGTCTGGCTGGATGACTAGATTTGGCTAGCTACATGTATGTTGTTTTTTTTATGACTAACTGCATAGTTAGCGACAGGTCTGGCTGGATGACTAGCCACATGGCTAGCTAAATGTGTGACTGTATGACTAACTGCACAGCTAGCGACAGGTCTGGGTGGATGACTAGATTTGGCTAGCTATATGTATGTTTGTATGACGAACTGCATAGCTATCGACAGGTCTGGCAGGATGACTAGCTACATAACTAGTTATATACTAGTATACGGCTATATTACCAGCTGATTTCATAACAATATACCTGGCTGTAAGACAACATGGCGAGCTATATGCCTGGCTGTATCAGTATCTGTGTGACTAACAACATATCTAACTGAATGACAAGCTATATAGCTGGCTATATTACTAGCTGTAATCCTAGTCGTGGGTCTACCGTATGACGAGCTGTATGGCTAGTTATATGGCTACCTGTATGACTAGCCGAATGCATGCCTAGCTGCATTGCAAGCTATATCACTAGTTGCGTTGCTAGCTGTATGACTGGATGAAATGCTAGCCATATTATTATTATTGTCTATCTATATGACTAGCTGCATGACTAACTATATATCTAGCTTTGTGACTAGCCCCATGGCTAGCAATACGACTCGATGTATGACTAGTTGTATGGCTAGCTACATGTATAGATGACAACATGTAAACAACCAAATTGACAACTCTTCGCACAGATGGCTGACTTGAAACCCTATGGATTATATCTTGGACCTGAATGTCACATTGCTGGTGAATCTATACTTTATTCTAATATCGATTTCATAACTACGAACAGTATTGTTTTTCTTCAACGATACAGGCATGAATAGGCCAGAGTGTTACTTGAAACAGTTGGCAAATGTTGAAAAGATGTCTCGTTCCGGTTGCTTTGTTAAACTGTATATACTCCATACTATCTCTGAGCCTTTTGAAAACAAATGAATTGCAACAGTACCATAAAACCCAATTACACCTCAAACATCAATACAATGATTCAGGTAACACACTTATTGGTATTATTTGTATATGTAGGGTATTTGATATATATGATATGGTAGGTTAAAGGAAGGTTTCTTAGTTGATAACATGTTGGTAACAATAGAAGTTCTTCAGCATAACGTACTAACAACTTTGGCAAACTGGTGTCAGAAGGGGGTTTGACGAGCACATTTGTGAGGATAACATACACTGTACCAGTATCTATACTTGGGGAGGGTGAGAGCTTTCATTGTCATATTCCTGATAATATTAGCCGGTTTTACAGCTCATATGTGTTGACAGAGAATACGATGGACATATGAAATTAATACAATTCATAGGGTTCAACTAGGTATCATTAAGGTAATTTGCGAACTTGCATGTGTAGATATGAATGCGAATCGCGAAGAAAGTTTTCCGTTTAAAAATGAGTCATGGAGGTTGGGTGTATTTTTGCCAGTAGCCAAAAAGGTACACAAAAACCCTATAGATTGTTCGAGCTATATTTTTTTTCCATTATCAATATCTTTACCTTTTTAAATCAGAATACCCACCATTTGTTATGTGCTCTCCTAAATAAATATAGCGACAAAACACTTTCCATATCCAAAAGTATCTGTCGATTGCAAGATTCCGACTATATCATGATCATGTGTTTATGAATCACTGTCAAATAATAATGATACCAGGTGTACGCGAAACGGTGAGCGTATTCTGCCCCACCGGTGGTACCCGTCACAAACACATGCAAAGGCAAGTCAATTGTTCATCTAAACACATCGGAACATATGGTACAAGTCAAAATAAGGAATTGCATCGGACATCATTTTTGTCACTGATGCGTCAAATGTGTGTCTTGTGGAGAGTATTTTGTCACTCTGAAACTTTATACGAGAAATAATACGAGGTCTTAGGATGATATTTGAATAGAATTAATGCATCTATTACATTCTTCTCGTGTTACTGTTACTACGCCTACACTATATGTCATATGTCTTGTTACAGCCTGTGTCAATGTGAACATCTCCAATGGCTGCTTGTCAAAATCACGAATCTCTTTGCACGAACGTCTCCCCTGTTAACACATGACGCTGTGGTGATGACGTTACACGGACGTTATTAGGCTGTCTGAGCGTCAATGTAACGCCATGCGAACGTCATGAGCTAGCAGAATTTTCTCGATTGATATCAGTATGTCATATGTACAACGTCCCTCATGAAATATTATATACATTGTATACTATCTACATACTGCAAAAATGCGAAGGTATTGTAACTTTAGCCACAAGCTTGAAATAACTCCAAAACGATTCAATTCTAAACTTCTTTATTCTTTGAAATTTCTTGTGACGACTTTTACAAAATAGTATTGGTCTGCAGCCTCAATCCTACGACAACACGAGTGTATATGATCATGCGTCATAAACATACCTCCAGAGAAAATTCCAATTATATGGCTAATTTCAATAGATATATCTATATTGCTGCAGAGATCAGTTCAATTGACTTCTGTGATGCCAGTATACATAACAACTGAAAAAATCTACTCTGAAAAAAGATGCATAATATGATAGATGAATGTCGTGTAACGACAAGCATGGTGGACATTACGAAATTCGTGCATTCGAATATAATGATTCTGTACTGTGTTTCGCAAGCAAACATTACCCTCATTGGTGAGCTCTGCTGGCCAGTTCTGCAACCATCGCCACCAATATTTGGTGACACTGACGTAAACAGTCACAGTTCACATCATCACACACATACCAGCAATCAGCACATAGGCCGGCAGCGGCGGTCTCCTTGCTGGAATGTAGGTATATGAATTCATCAGGGTTTCACGGAGTATCTCTGTATCATGGTCCTCCAGAATGATCGAATCCTCGTGAGATGGCAACGCGTGCCAGTTCGGACATGGTCATCGTAACGTGCAGTGATTGAAACCAAAATAATTCAGTTAGGCTCAGCGTCTTTCAAAGATGAATTCGTTGTAATGTTGCCACTTGGCTTCCTCTGTGTCCATCCCCGCTTTTAGCTCGCCAGCACTGTTGGTCCCGGTGCCAACCCCACCTGCCAAGAAGAACCCCTCTTCTTGAAGCATGTCAAAGGCCTGCTCCAAGTATGTATGCTTGAGGAAATACCTTCCTGTGTATCTATCCATGCCACCCCGATCTGGGTCTCTGCTTTCGTTCAGGGTTTCTTTGAATGCCTCTCGACACAAGGAAATTCTACCACACACGATGATTCTACTCAGCTTTCGGAATTTAACGTCAGCAAGCCCGTCTCTTCCGAAAGCAAATGTTCCCCTGTAGCCTACAGTTATATATCCCGGTTGCTTGCCGGTAACGCTAGGCAAGGGTTTAAGTATAGACCCTGATAGGGCGGAACCGGTAATTCCAGGGGGACTGGAAGTGCTGGACAGAGGGGTTAAGTGGGCCGGTTTTGGCGACAGAGCGCTTAAACTGTTCACTAAGTCCTCCAGCTCAAAGAAATCAGCTTCTTGTCGGAGTCGCTCACGTTCGTGGAAATTCTCTGGTAGAATAAGCTTGAGGTTCCGGAGATAGTCCAATATGTATCGGAACAATACACCATCTCTATCAATAAAATATTTGCCTTTAGCGTCCCGCACAAAAATTGCCGTAGAGTCATCGCCAAACATCTTGCCGAGTCGACATTCAGGGATCTTCTTTAAGGTGGCGAGTGTTGTTGTATAAAACACTCCACCAACGTTCAACTCAACAATCTCTGAGCTCTCAATCGAATTGGTCTTGTCAGACATTTTGGGTAATTTCCTTTAATATCCACTAGTTCAGGTTCCAAGTCAAATCCTTTGTACTTTAATAGCCACTTAAATCATTTCTAATAACTGCTCCTTTTGAGGCACACGTCTTCTAGTTTCCATACACAACACACCAAGAATGAACCGCTCTGGCCCTGAGGCAGACTGGTTGATTTCACTCTTTTCAAGAATACCAGCTGAGCGCTAATTCCCAGGCTACTGCAGTGAATAGTGAAGGTGAACTCACTTGATTCTATCGCTGTGGCTAGGGCGCGTATATGGCAGTGCTATCGACCGGACCTAGTTTATGGCATTCTAAATGTACGCACAAACACAAAGACTCTCTCCTAATTCCTTATTGATTGCCAATGTAGTCGCGATCCATTCTTCTCTGTTCTCAACTCAAACGAAAGAAGAGCATCAGTGTATGTTTTCAGATTCCCTAGCTCGCTGAAATATTCTAGCACCAATAGTTCTCGCGCCGCCGGTCTATATGCGCTTGCCTCCCCGTGCTCAGCCCCACTGATCGAGAGTATGGTCTGCCAGGGTTAAAAGCGCTGCAATAACTAACGAAACATATTCACCGACTGTGCAGAAATGCCCGTCCCTCGTCTGTGATTGGCTGTTTGGGCTTTGGCTCGTCAACTGGCGTTCGACGTCGCCATGGCAACCAGAAGACGGTGAACCGTTGCACACGCATGCGGTTTTTTTATTTGGTAAGGTCCAACTGCACTGACTCGCTATCGATACAGGGACAGGAGCTGAAATGGAGACACACTGATAGCATTACCCTACTGAGTAAATTAGATCTACCTGGTCACTCTCTAAGTTGGTGAGCTGGTGGCAGTTGATTTCAATTTACCTGTTTAAATAGAAACTATTGCGCTTTCTCGCAGCGGTTCAATCAAATCAAATTCTTTCAAAAACCTTGATGTCGGTCTATATGTGAAGCTACGTTTGTGTTAACTCGCTTTCAGTATCAAATATTTGTTTACGTTAGTATGCATTAGGGAAAATAGTGTACATGAGGCCATTATATCGTTGGCTTCCTAGTACCGCCTGCGGTTCTCTTAATCCGCAAACAGTGTTAAATATCAACCGTCATAGATATTTCACACATGCTAATATTTGGAAAACAGGTTCTATAGTACATGTATGTGGTTTTACAAACTAAAAGATTAATTCCAAACTTTATTCGAATATAAAATGGTAAGGGGATTTAAAAGAAAATGTTTTTTTAATTCGCACAGTGGCATCAGATGACCTTCATACAACCTTGCCAAGCACTTGCACTTAATACATTCTTATTCAATTAACCATTCCAAAATTGAAAGCTTTACTTGTTTCAGATAACGACCTTTTACTTGTTTAAGATCAGCAACCTTTTAAATTATCAAAAAATCTAAACTACTCTGTGGATAAATGAAACATATTAGCTGCAATCAATTTAATAGTTTTTACATCAGAGTAACTTAATTCGGATACCATTCAATATAGCTGGATTATAATATGCAGCATAATAAACGAACAACAATGACAGTGATTGAGCGTCATACATTACATTAAGCTTACGTATAATAAGAAGCATTATACAAACATTAAACGAACAACATTAACATTGAGTGTTATCTATCAAGGAGAGTAAACGAACTACAGTGGTTGAGTGAGTGAGTCAGTGAGTGAGTGAGTGAGTGGTTGAGTGAGTGAGTGGTTGAGTGAGTGGTTGAGTGAGTGGTTGAGTGGTTGAGTGAGTGAGTGGTTGAGTGAGTGAGTGGTTGAGTGAGTGGTTGAGTGAGTGAGTGGTTGAGTGAGTGAGTGAGTGGTTGAGTGAGTGAGTGAGTGAGTGAGTGAGTGAGTGAGTGAGTGAGTGAGTGAGTGAGTGAGTGAGTGAGTGAGTGAGTGAGTGAGTGAGTGAGGGAATGAGTGAGTGAGTGGGTATTGATCAGTGATCAGTAGTGCCGTTATATCACGGTGTGTCAGCTTGAGAAAAGCACTGCATTAACACTCATATTATACAACGCAGTAACAGAAGATGAATTCCTGTAACGTGAATGCTGCAATGATTACATTCAAGTGAAACGTAACGAGAATCTCCACGCACCAAGCACTGGGACGTCTTTTCCTAAACAAACAATAAAGTGCTAAATAATTTGTTTGTATTGAAGATTACCGATACATGCTCGAAGCTCGAAGCTCGAAGATATATGTGTGTCTTTCAAACAACAACAACACCTCTTTTGAACATATACACGTAAACTTAAAATGAACATAACATACATCGTATCCTCGGTAAAACCACTGGATGCATTCTGGTGACATGTGTTTATCCTTTGAATCAGTATGTGTGAATCATGCTCGGTATTTTATTGAGGTGCGCAATACAATCAATACGTAAATAAAACAAAGTGTGTTCGTGGTTGCAGACTGTAGCCAACAACGTCGATAAGCTGACAGCAAGCCACACGTGCTGCACTGTGACTGAATGGTCAGTTATCAATAATTCAATCCCAAGGGTGGGTCTCACCTGTCGCGTACGTATAATAGTATGCGTTGGTCTGTTTAGAATCCTATATTGCTCACCGGAATTGATATTTACTTAGCAACTAAGCCCACGATCGGCTTCATTGCATATTAACGTTCATTTGGATGTATTGTGTGTATACTACGGTTGTTACTGAGTCGGATACAGTGGTAAACGGGCTGTTATGGACTGAGTGATTGAGAAATTGAGTGAGTGTGTGGTTGAATGAGTGGTTGAGTGGTTAAATGAGTGGTTGAGTGAGTGATTGAGTGAGTGGTTGGACGAGTGGTTGAGTGGTTGAATGTGTGGTTGAGTGAGTGATTGGGTGAGTGGTTGAATGCGTGGTTGGGTGAGTGAGTGGTTGAGTGGTTGAGTGAGTGATTGAATGAGTGGTTGAGTGGTTGAATGAGTGGTTGAGTGGTTGCATGTGTGGTTAAGTGGTTGAATGTGTGGTTGAGTGAGTGGTCGAGTGAGTAGTTGTGTGAGTGAATGTGTGGTTGAATGAGTGGTCGAGTGAGTGGTTGAAAGTGTGATTGAGTGTGTGGTCGAGTGAGTAGTTGTGTGGGTGAATGTGTGGTTGAATGAGTGGTCGAGTGTGTTGTTGAATGAGTGGTCGAGTGTGTTGTTGAATGAGTGGTTGAGTGAGTAGTTGAGTGAGTGGTTGAATGAGTGGTTGAGTGAGTGGTTAAATGAGTGGTTGAGTCGTTGAATGAGTGGTTGACTGGTTGAGTGAGTGGTTGAATGTGGTTGAATGAGTGGTCGAGTGAGTAGTTGAGTGGTTGAATGTGTAGTTGAATGCGTGGTTGAGTGGTTGAATGAGTGGCTGAGTGAGTGGTTGAGTGAGTGGTTAAATGAGTGGTTGAATGAGTGGTTGAATGTGTGGTTGAGTGAGTGGTTGAATGTGTGATTGAGTGAGTGGTTGAATGTGTGGTTGAGTGAGTGGTCGAGTGAGTAGTTGTGTGGGTGAATGTGTGGTTGAATGAGTGGTCGAGTGGTTGAGTGAGTGGTTGAGTGTGTGGTTGAATGAGTGGTCGAGTGAGTAGTTGTGCGGGTGAATGTGTGGTTGAATGAGTGGTTGAGTGAGTGGTTGAATGTGTGGTTGAGTGAGTGGTCGAGTGAGTAGTTGTGTGGGTGAATGTGTGGTTGAATGAGTGGTCGAGTGGTTGAGTGAGTGGTTGAATGTGTGGTTGAATGAGTGGTCGAGTGAGTAGTTGTGTGGGTGAATGTGTGGTTGAATGAGTGGTCGAGTGGTTGAGTGAGTGGTTGAGTGTGTGGTTGAATGAGTGGTCGAGTGAGTAGTTGTGCGGGTGAATGTGTGGTTGAATGAGTGGTCGAGTAAGTGGTTGAATGTGTGGTTGAATGAGTGGTCGAGTGAGTCGTTGAGTGGGTGGGATGTAGGTGAGTGAGTATGTTTTTACGCCGCATTTAGCAATATGCCACTATCCCAGCGGGGGCCGCGTATTGTATTTACAAACTACCTTTCTCGTGTAATAGATTATTGAAACATGACAAGAAGTATTTGAATAACCTCCATAAATCTTCACAAATTTATGACAAGCTTATATGGCCTAGTGGAAATAGCGTCTGCAGAGAGAGCGGAAGGTCGGTGGTTCGATGCCCGGGCTGCCACATACCAAAATATGGTAAAGGGTGGTGCACTGCATGGCTTTCGGCATTGACGGGATAAAACAAAGACCGGTCGCTTCGAAGTCAGTATAAAGTGTCTGCATGGGGTAGCATTTTTAAACTGCGGCCTGGTAGTGGCGGGCTACCGCTATTAAACTTGCAGAAGGATGGACTAGTATAGCGGCCATACGCTGATGTGCAGGCGTCACCCCATTTCACCCCACAAGACTATAGCTGTCTGTAAAAGGACATGGAACAATACGTATTCAATAATGTTAATTATTCTTCAAAGGAAATGTCAATCAATTAGTAAACTGCTGAATAAACACGAGTGAGCTTTTCAGTACCTGACGGCGTGACCGTTTTATGTTGGAGGAAAGCCCGAAGTAATGCTGACAAACCTGAACACAAAATCAGTGCGAATGTGGAATTCGAACCCATGGTCCTAAGTTTCTGTAAACCTAAGGGACGCAACTCCGAACAGCAAATTGAAGCGCTCAAGACGACTTGACCCGCCGCGCCCACGACAACAATAATAATCAGTGAGTGAGTGAGTATGATTTTACGCCGCTTTTAGCAATATTCCAGCAATATCACGGCGTGGGACACCAGAAACGGGCTTCACACATTGTACCCATGTCGGGAATCGAACCCGGGTCTTCGGCGTGACGAGCGAACGCTTTAACCACTAGGCTACCCGACCGCCCCACAATATTAATCAAGAAGCTGGGAGAATATAAGCACGAACGGACGCTTACATGTGAAACTAAGTAAGAAGACATAATTTGTACGTTTCAATTTTATGGACATTACGAATAAACTTCATCCACAATGTTACAGTAATGTTAAACATGTTTTCTGGAGTCATAAGAATCAATACATGTAAACATGCGAAGTAAGAGGTACATGCGACAACATGATTAAATAGTTGACTAGTTGACAACAAATCCTCACTGTGTGTTCACAGGTGCATAGGAATTACGTTAAATTATTACCATTGGATACTGCCTCCATCCTTTTCCCGTCGTCCTTATTATTGTTTTTTCATTTGATTATTTCCCAGTACAGTGAAACTGTACAATCAAACACCCCTTCCAGTAAAACATTGCTCCCTGTCAAACGCTGCATCCATTCAAACACTCCTTCCATTCAAACATTCCTTCCAGTCAAACACTGCTTCCATTCAAACACTGCTTCCAGTCAAACACTCCTTCCAGTCAAACACTGCTTCCAGTAAAACACTGCTTCCATTCAAACACTCCTTCCTTTCAAACATTCCTTCCAGTCAAACACTGCTTCCATTCAAACACTCCTTCCAGTCAAACACTGCTTCCAGTCAAACACTCCGTCCAGTCAAACAATGCTTCCAGTCAAAAACTCCGTCCAGTCAAACACTCATTCCAGTGATTCCAGTTCTAGCA